CAAAAATAATTTACTCACTACATAGATGCAACTTCGTTTCAGTGCATTTAATTTATATAGAGTTTAAAATTTGGCATATTTATAGGGAAAGAGTGTTCAGTATTGGAGGTAGTATATAGACAGTATAGAGATAAGAATCAGCACTGCATGGTGACTGTCAGTTCCATGACTTGTGTTGAAGATCACATTGAGGTGTAAAACTGACAGTCACAATTCTATGTTGAGTCCTCTGTCTACAACATAATCAAAGTTCTTTCTATTGATGTTGTATTTTCTGTAAGTCATTTCCAATACTATAATGGGGGCGGGGAGGCTTTTGAAGGCCCCACCAACACCAAAAAAATCACTTAGAGAGCAGGAGGTGGGTTCTGTTCTAAAAACTTAAGAATTAAACAAGGATGTATTTAATAATGTATTTGGCAACATGAATGTATTTAATATTTGAGTTTTAAGCATAGAAAAAAATAATTTATTTTTCTAAGGTAACTCCTGAGTTTCAAAATCATAATGTCTTTTTTCAAAATAATTGTCAAATGAAAATTTTCTCTTGTGTAGCCTGAAAATACTGAAAAAAAACCTTAATAAAAAAAATGTCAAGTATTTCACAATATAAAAATTTACTCATGGTCTAAACTCATTAGCATGATAGAGTAATGGTTAGTGGCTTGTCTTGAGGAATCTGAGAACTGAGTTCATTACATTCACTTATGTACTAATACCCTTGAGAAAGGTATGAATCCATCTCTTCTGCCCCACCAGCTATGGGTAAAATAGCAGGACAGACTAGCTGGCAACCAGTCTAGGAGAAGGATACTCTGAATTCAAAACTACCTGCTGCCTTTGTAGGTCCTGCCTTTTTAGGCAAAGGCTAGAAGGTAATGTCAAAATCAAATTCACCTCTGAAAGAATGGACAGGGTAACCTTAACATCCCTTATGCAAAAGGAACATGCAAGCAACTGCACTATTCTGTCTTGAATGTCACCATGCACCACAATTGTGAAACATAGGGGAGTGGTGACCATAGCAGTGCAAAAGACACTAACTAAATAAAATAATGTTGATAATGATGAAGTCTTTAGCTGCAATAGCAAGTGTCATTTAGAAAATCGACTTTTAATGCATGGATATTTAATATTAGCATTGTTATGAATTGTATATTTAATTCATGATTCTTTTTTCTCTTTTTTCCAGTTATATCTTGTAGAATATAATGCTTTCCCTCCCCCACATCAGTTTTATTTAATTCAAATTTCTGTACAGGTTTCTTTCTGGATTTCCTGAATTGCCAGTCTGAAATTTTTGTTAGATCTTAACACTGTCATTTTCTGGATTAATGCAGTCCATTGTTGTGGATAAAAGCATGCTAATCTGTGGCCACGATTAAAGATCTGAGATTTCAATAGATTGCACAAAATAATTTTTTAAAAGCAGGCTCGGTTTGAAAGAACTGATATTTGAAATAGCATACAATGATTTTTATCTGACAAAAATGTTTTTTGAATAAAGAATTTAATTGTCATAAAATGATTTTCATTGAAATATTTTTGAAAGCTGACTTTATTGATTAATAGACATAGCTTTCATCGATGAGATTTAAAGAGAAAAATGTTTATATAGTGTGTGTGTGTGTATATGTGTAGTCTAATGTCAACACATGAAGAAACCATGAAATCTTTGGATATTTTAGACTATAAAATAACTTCTAACTAAAATCAGACAAAATATAAATGAAAACGTATTTATTCAAGGTGTAGTACCCACTGATATGCCTAGTATCATGTTGGACTTCTAGTCTGGTGAATTGCAGCAACTTGATGTGATAACAAAATAAAATCTAGAGTAATCATCAGATTCTACTTAAGAGCACTTTGAATTTAAAACCCTCAATATTTATATGAAGAGGAGAAATATATTGAAAATATTTTCAAGACCCTCCAATAGCCTAACTAATAAAAAAGATCTCGTAAATTTCTATTCTCATCATAACAACAAAATAAAATCCAGAATAATCATTGGATTCTATTTAAGAGCATTCAAAATTTGCAGCCCTCAATATTTACATGAAAAGAAGAAATATATTGAAAATACTTTCATGCTCAACCAATACCCTAAGTATTTCATATTCAATGTGAAAGAAAATGCTCATAAAATGTTTCAAAATAGGAAAACGGCCTCTTCTGACAAACTCAATGAATCAAAAAAAATATATTGTTTAACCTACTAACTCACAACTACATTTGAAATGTGTGTGTGTAATATATATATATATATATATATATATATATGAGAGAGAGAGATCAACCAACTCTATACTTCTAATGTATCACCTTGAATTTTTCCTTCTCAATAAGAGTATATAGGTTTGTCTAACGTCTGATTCACACTCCTATCCAATCTTTTGAACAGGAATAGAGGTTTATCCCTTGTCCCCTGTTTAGAATTGGGTACATATTCCTGCTAAAGTCTTTTCATTCTCTTTCGCTTCCAGTAGCCCCTTGTATCTTAGTGGTATTATTGCCTTGCTTGGGATAAATTGATTAAGAAAATAAGACAAGTTCTGTATGCTTAATATTTAAAATTTTTCCATCTTCAAACTAAGTTGTTTTATTGGTAAACATTCCAATACTCTCTCTCTCACGCACACACACAATATATTTTGTCGGTAATTTTGAATTTATGCAACTGTAGCTGAACACTAAGGAAAGAAATATATCGTTTTTATTAATTTAACCAGAGAAAATGGTTTAAACCATCATAAAATTAACTAAACATAACTTTTTTCCCCATCCAATATGAGCCTTAAATTTAACATATATGAAATAAGTTCAGAAAATTTTTAAGCCGATTCTGTATTCCACAATGCAAAGTTTCTACATCTCAAATTTGATCTTCACAGTGTAAGATGGAAGGAAAAAAAAAAACTTAATGGCATTATCTCTTTGTAAAGTTGGCAAATATGTATAGCTTCAAGTAATCATTTTCACTTGAAACTTCCTTTCATCTACAAAAATGATTTAGTAGTTGAACTTGCAGGAAAGAGATTGAATTAAAAAGACCTGAACAACTAGAGTTTTTAAGCAAATATATACTGAAAGGTAACTTCAGAAATAAACTATTTATATACATATTTATTAATACTAGTCATTGAATACCTTGCAAACAATACTGACACAGGACATGCAGTGAAGACTTTCTTTATAATCATCAACAAAGACCAAACATAAGCAATGATGTTGCATTCTAATCATTCTGCTGGAAAATTCATCCTCATGCCAAGAAAGACGAAATATTTTATGTTCTTTTTGCCTGAGTCATGAGTAAAGATAACCTGATGAAGTGTCTATATTGATGAAAAACTTCCTTCAAGGAAGGTGTTTTTTGCAAGGCAGGATTGATTAAATAAGTGACAAATGTTTAATGCTGATGTTTAATCAAGCTGAAAAGTATTTGCAGTGACAGCATGTAGGAGGGTGTCAGTTTGTTGCTTGGTATGGGGCAAATAAAGAAAATTTAGAAAGATCTATGCAAGAAAAAGAGTAAACAAGAAAGTAGATATTTGAGAAAGTGTTTTAATTTTAAATGGCATTTGGTGTTTTTTTTTTTTTTTTTTTAAGCAATGCAACAAAAAATATCAGTAAATTGTTCTCTTGATTGCATTTGAAATATATTTTTTTTCTTTCTACTTTTTCTTTTTTTTTTCCTCAGTTATTTCTGCTGTTTCTTTTTCACATCTGTCATTTTATCTTTTCCCATCAATTTTGTCTTCTCTCTTCTCTCTCTTCTCTATCTTCTATCTCTCTCTTCTCTATCTTCTATCTCTCTCTCTTCTCTATCTTCTATCTCTCTCTCTTCTCTATCTTCTATCTCTCTCTCTCTCTTCTCTATCTTCTATCTCTCTCTCTCTTCTCTATCTTCTATCTCTCTCTCTCTTCTCTATCTTCTATCTCTCTCTATCTTCTATCTCTCTCTATCGTCTATCTCTCTCTATCGTCTATCTCTCTCTCTATCGTCTATCTCTCTATCTTCTATCTCTCTCTTCTCTATGAGTCTCTCTCTCTCTCTCTCGTCTATCTCTCTCTCTCTAGTCTATCTCTCTCTCTCTCTCGTCTATCTCTTCTTCTTCTTCTTCTATATCTCTCTCTCTTTTCTCCCCCCATCTCTTTATGCTTTCCTTGTCTCATCTTTCTCTCCTTCACTTTCATAAAAACATATATGCTCTGGTACAGGAGTATTATGGACCTAGTATTGTTGAGGATTTTGTAGAATTATGCTCCTTTATCGAGGCTTCTGTGCTGCCGAGCACTTTCTCTGGTACACTTATAAATTTTTGTCTGTTGATTTTTTTTTTTTTTTCTCCTAACTCATTTCACCCAAAGCAAGGCAATAAAGCGACTAAGATGCAAATGGTTAGAGAATATGTGAAAAATATTATGAAGGAGAGAGTACAATAAAAGATTTAAGGAGATAACAATTGATATTGCATTTAAGTTTTGGAGATCAAAGTTGACTGGGAAGAAAGAACCTGATGGAGATTTCCACAATCAAGAAGTGTGATAGAAGAACCTGTTAGCATAGAACTTATGGTTACATCTAGCCATTTCAACTGGAAAATGATGAGTCCTTGCCACCAATCTTAACTGCACTTAAATTCATAAAGTCTAGGTACGATACAGGAAAGTTCATCAGAACAATTACCATGAAAGTATTTATAGAAATGGCATAAAGAAGCTACATTACAGCAATGGGAAAGTGACTGAAGGCAAGATGCAAGGTCAGGACCAATAACATTACAGATTCTTCTTTGTATTTTATCAAGAATCTCTAAATGTATATCAGGAGCACTGGCCCAGATGTAGCAGCAATATTCAAAGTATAGAATAAATAGTAGACTTATAAATCTGCAAGATAGATTATGGAGAAAAAAAAATTATTTAGCACAACACAGTGAACCAACATTCTTAGCAGCAGACCCCGCAATTGATCCAATATAATCTTTTCACTTCATGTCTGCAGATAAATGTTAGAAAGCAAAAAGAGAACTCTCAGATGATTGATAGAGAGCAGTTAAGGAGATTATTTTTTTTTTTGGTTTCCCTTCCTCAAATTGAGGTTGATATAATCAAGGTTTTGACGTTCTACACTACTGCAAATAAAAAAAGTTAGGAAGGAAGCCCTTATCAATACTGGAAAGAGCAATAACAACTACTGGACTTAAGAGACCTGTTTTCCTGTTTTAAGAGAAAGATTTTATAAATTTCAACTGAAAGCAGAACTGGTTGCTTAGTCAATGAATGCCAAATATTTCCTTGTAGGGAAACAGCTAATATTACCATTAGGTGGCTATCAGTTTAGGAGAACAACAACTCTGAATTCAAAACTGACAACTATGAGTAAATAGAGAAGATTAGGCTTTTCAGCCTTGGTTGGCAACAAGTCTAGGAAAACAATTCTGAATTCAAAACCTGTATGTAGCCTTGGTGAAGTATATACTACTATGCAACTGAAGCACTGTGATCCTGACTGCGGCTGACTGGTTGATTAACTTATTTATTAAATTAAAGATCCTTCATAGAGACTTGCATATTGACATGCAACCAAGACATATGAAGGGAGCTGGTCAGGTGGTCATCTGTGTAACACTAAGACCACATCTGCTCATGAGATTGATAATGATCATTAAGTTGACCTAAGTATTTATTAAAATCATTTGTATTTGGGAAATGCTTGAAAACTGATGCAGCAAACAATCATTAAATTTTTTTAATGTTGAAACTAGCCATTATTAATTCTGTGTGTCTTTTATCTTTGACAGTGTCTCAGCATATTTTATGAGTAATAAAACAAAGGAGACAGCTGCTACACAAGCAACTGACATGTATTCTGTGTTACAATGTATTAGTCAAATAATATCATTATAATGAATTTCTACCATACTAGTTGTTAAATTTAGTGTATAAAATATACAAGGGTAAATAAAAAAGCAAAGGCAATTTCCATATTATTTCCACTGTTGAAGAACAAGTGCATGTGTCACTTCTCGATATAGCCCCTCTAGTATTGGCCCTCATCTCTTCCAAAAAGGTTTTATGCTTACATGTTTCAGCATAAACTTTATGGTACCCCAAATCATCATACACTATGGCTTGTGCAGATCCATAATGGATGCCTACAATTGCCACCACTTGTCAGTCTGCTCTGATTAAGACGATAAACTACATCCAACAGCAAGGCCTCTGTTCAGGTGGTTTTGAGGAGCATGGAACCATCTCTTAATTGCTGGTGTTCCCAGGTCCATCTTTATGTGGAGTAATAGCACCAGTTAGGGCCCCAGCTATGGGCAAATAGTTAACCCCCAAACTAGGGTCAAAACACTATGAAAGTGTAAAAATAGTTTTTAATACCAGCAATACATTATCATCAGCAATGTATTTTTGAAACAAAAAAATATTACCAGCAATACATTTTTGAAGAAAAAAAATATTATTAGCAATACATTTTTGGAAAAAATATTACCAGCAATAAAAATCTTGTTGGTATTAAATAACCCATTGAGCTTGATATGCCGTAAACCAAACCAAACTGATTAAGGCATGCACCATCTAGATGTTTTTTTCTGTATGCAATTGATGAGTAACCAGATTGGATTTTTTTTGTTACACTAGTTCTTCCTGTTTTATATCTTTTCTATCCACTTGTACACCTTTCCTTGATTCTTGGTGTATGCTCCATACTGTGAAAACAGATGTGCCATTCAAAATTGCCTTTACTTTCTTATTTACCCTTGTATATATGCAAATGGGATAGCTATTATCTGATGATGGATTTTCATAGATTTAACTACCTCTGCCCGCTGTGTATTACGTTGCGTTGTTTCTCAATGGTGCAATTGCTGCGTGGAGTGTCCATATATCCGACCTCATTACTCCTGTCTACTTGACTGAACACTGGAATGCTGTGTGTGGCTAGAGCCTGTCATCTCATGCAAATATGCACCCCCTCTCTATTGCTTTTACTATGTTTTTTTCAAAATTTCCATTATTTTCTGATTTATGCTCAGACATATGGAAATGGCACAGATATTATCATATGGAGGTTTTTCTAGTGATGTTAGTTGGTATTTAACTGGGTTATAATAGCTACCGAATTCATCATTAATTGGCTTTATCTGCTTCACTAAAGATATGTACTCTCATTTGCAGTGAAGTAGTACCTATTGCTGTTGATTGATGGAACCTCATAGACTCTTATTTTATTCACAAATATTCTAATCAGTATTTTCGTTCTGGGTATGATGATGAAACTAGATCTGCATCCTGGGTATGATGATGAAACTAGATGAATATTAATGAAAAATATGATGATGAAACTAGAAATAATGAGTCCTGGGTAAGACAATAAACTCGTCCAACAACGTCTCTGATTAGGAGATTTTGAGGAGCATGGAACCACCTCTTAATTAATTGGTGTTCACAGGTCCACCATGACCTGAGGTGGTATTTTTTTTTGGGTTAATTTATGGCAAATAGTTAACCCCAAACTGGGGTAAAGCAAATAAATAGGTATTTTTAATACCAGAAATTTTTTAAAAATTATTACCAGCAATTTGTTTTTTTTGAAGAAGAAAACTATCACTAGCAATACGCTTTTGAAAAAAAAAATATTACCAGCTATACATATTTGAGGAAAAAATATTATCAGCAATACTTTTTTGAAAAGAAAAATACTTTTTTGAAGGAAAAAATATTACCAGAAATATATTTTTGACAAAACAAACTATTACCAGCAATAAAAATTTTGTCGGCATTAAATAACCCATTGAAGTTGATATGCTGTAAATCAGATCTAATCGGTGTTAGGAATGTTATTTTGCAATCATTTCAGAAAGATGACATACCTATTTTTCAAAACAAGTTATGTAATTTACCAGTTTAAGTTCCTGTTCAAGGTATACTATATAGGTAGGATCATTCAGTGTCTAGAGAAATGACTTGCCCATTGTATGCCTGCGTGCATTAGGAAATGTTGACTAGAAAATGTGAATGTGAAAAAAGCAACACTGAAATCTGAAGGCACAGTAAGATTGTGAAAAATGCCTTTCAAAAGCTAAGTAAAATATTATAAACAGGAAAGGAACAAAGAAAAGAGTACTGAACTGTTATTTAATATCGGTTTTTTTATAGGTTTTTGAATGCAGGACAATCTCCTTGCAGATGACAAAAAATTCAAAAGCAATGGAAATGTGTTTTTACAGTAGGATGATAATACCATAGATTGAATATCTGAGCAACAAAAATGTTTTAGAAAACAGAAATAAAAAGAGTGCTTATTCTTAGAATTAAAGAGGAAATCAACATTTTTAGGATACATAAAGAAGAAAGAGTATTTGGAGAATTTAATCCTTACATTGAAATTCAATCTTTTTTATCCTTTTTCAGAGATTAAGGATAGTTGATTTAAATGGTTCTCGGAACAGGGATTTGGAGAGACATGAAATTTAAAAAAAAGAAGCTTGATAAGTTTACAAAGTAGAGGAACTTGTGGAGAGCTGTGATCGCCCCCAAAGGACATAACATTTAAATGGATTCAAAATTATTAATATCTTGGTTCTATGATTTAGCATTTAAAAAAAAAAAATGAAAATTTAATGTACCATGATTGCCCAAGTATGTATCACATATGATACTTAACTGAATACTGACATTCTTATTACAGAAATGATATGGTCACTACATAGAAATAATCTATTAGAACATAAATGATAGAAAAACTATTTTAAATGTTGTATCTGACATAAATGTCTCTTTGTATATTGACATTTTGGCCATTTTCATGTCTTTATAAAAAGAAAAGTACATAAGAGACACCTGAGTTGTTTATATTTTTTCTAATTTACAGTAAACATTAACTATTGTCACCAAGTTTCAAACCTGTACATTATTTATTTATTTATTTTTTTAAGCATTTCACCCCAAGCAAGGCAGGAGTGCCACTAGCACGTTGGGGGCTATAGAGAGTGAATGTGAAAGAAAAGAGTGGATATAGGGGTAACAGAAGATGGTGATTGATGTTGCATTTAAATTTTTGAAGATTGTAGTTATCAAGGAAGCAAGTGAGCAGAAGAGAGTTCCAATGTTGGGAAGTACAAGGAAAGAAACTGTTGGAGTAGAAGTGGTGGTTATTTCAACAGTAAATGGGTGGGACATAGATACCAATCTAGTAGCATGTTTAAATTCATGTAGTTGGAGTACTCAGGGTGGAGGAGCTTGTCACAGCAGTAACCATAAAAATATTTGTAGAAAAGACAGAGGGAAATGTGAGAAAGTGTCTGAAGTTGAGAAGCCAATTCAGGACTGATTACATTAGAGATCCTTCTTTGGATTTTGTCAAGAGTCTCTAGAAGAATGGCAGGGGCACCAGACCAGATATGGCAATAGTATTCAATGTAAGAACAAATGGTATCCTTAGAGCTATGAACATCAGAATCTTGAAAGTCTTATTTAGCAAAATGAAAAAAAATACAGTGAAATTTCAAGATGCTCTGATTTTTAAAAACTAATAAAGTTGCAGATCTAATATTTGGTATTTATTGATAAATTTGTTTAAGGAACACCTGTGAATTTTCCCCAATTTTTCTGAGAGTCACCTGTGACCATTGGTTGATTTGAGATGGAATGACCTATTTATATTAAATCTAGAGAGCTATCTTTGTGTAAACAAAATGGATGGTTGTTGGGTCTCAGTGTGATTTGTTTATAAGTAGACTGGTGTCAATATATTATTGATACTTGTATGGTTCTTATTCAATGCACACAGTATTTTAATTCCTTGATTGAGCTCTGCTTAGAGAGGAACAAAATATGATCAATTGATTCTGTTGATTTTGTTTTTCTATTACTATTTACTGTGACTAATTTGTTTTTTTTTTTTTTTTTTTTTTTTTTTTTTCATAGCATGGATTAAATTTTGTATCTGTAATAAGATTTTTGTTTTTTTAGTTTCATCTATATGAAAATATTATAATGTGAAAAAAAATACCTTTGTGCAGCCTGAATGTAATTAGAAGAGGAAATGATTCTAAAATTATTAATACATTCTCTGTTGTGTTAGATATTTGAATCTTTATATAATGCCATCTGTTTTTGTTATGATTACCATTAAAAATTCTCATATAAAACTACTTAGGATTTATATTGGTCAAAAAAAAATTAATACATTTCCTGCAATGTTAGATATTTGAATACTTATATAATGCCATTTCTATTTATTGCTATAAATTTATAAATTGTTAAATAAGATTACTTATGCTCTATCTTAGTTAAAAAAAAAAAAAAAAATTACATTCCCTGTTATGGGAAAACAATATATGAATTTTTTTTTATATCAGAACAATTTTATTAAGATCTATGACAAAGTAGAAAAACTTTTCCATGTTGGGTGTTTCATCCTTTAGGACTTCATTGGACTAAGGTAATGTTTGTGCTTGTCTAATCACATCAACATAAACATCACTTTAGTCTGATGAAGTCTTAAAGGTCGAAATATGTCACGCACAATATTTTTTCTACTTTGTCATACATTTTCCTAAAATTATCTGGTATGTTAGATATTTTAATCTTTACATAATGCAATGTGCTTTTTTCTTTGAGTTTCCGTTTTATTTAAATTACATCACTTAGGATCTTCTATAGTTTACCAAGATTTTTAAAATTAGTCTTAAGAACATTTTTAAGTGTTCTTAAATTTCAAAATTTGGAAACCTAATGTTTTTACTTCTGTTCATAAATACATGTTGCAAAAAAAATCTTTATATTTGCTTTGATAAAGTCTATCAGAGGCTGAAACACATCAGTAAAGAATAGTTTTCTTTTTGTCTTTATATATATATATATATATATATATTTTGTCTTTTTACAAATATACACACACACTATATATATATATATATATATATATATATATATATATATACACCCATACCCAAATATAGGGTTGGTGTATATGGAATAAATTCCAATAACCAGAAAATACAGAGTAGAGCAAATATATCACCATATTACCACTTCAAATGTATCTAAGCTGTAACGAAGCTTAGCATCAATATTAAATTTTAACGTTTATTCTAACTGAATTTTTGGCCTTTCAATTAAAACAAAATAAATAACAAAACATATGTATTTTTCCTCAGTTTCTTCATTAAATAATTTTATAATATTTTAAACTTAATACAGATTTAAAATTGGTAATTTTTAATTTTCAATTGTATAGTAAAATTTAATATTAATTAGAATGATTTCTATTTTAGTCTAACCCTAACATTAAAGCATTAATTATTATAAGCAAGGTTCATTGTCAAGTTTTTTTGAATTCTCATATACTTGTATTTTGATTGGTCATTGCAGCTTATGTAACAGCGTTTCCCCTAGCGAGAGGTGTTTGGTCAATTTGAACCTTTTGAAACCCTTTATTCTACATTCAACACCATTAATTAATAAGACACCAGAAGTGTTGAAACAAAATGGCTATTTTTGTAGTTGTAACATATTTGTTATAATTTTCAAATAAATTATACATATATATAGATAAATCCAAACGCATGTTTTCTAATCTCTTTTCTATTTTCAGAATGGAGAGAACGAGATGATGACCGTTTTGACAGCAGAGAGGGCATCTCAGATGTCCTACCAGGATGTCTGCAATGCCCTGGATGCAGATCTCAGCATGGGTTTATCCCATGAGGAAGCTGCCAATCGGCGAAGAGTACATGGATACAATGAATTTGAAATCTCCAAAGAAGAACCCTTATGGAGAAAATATTTAGGACAAGTAAGTCGATAATTTTTTCATTTTTCTCTAACATTAGCTCTGGACATCTAAGGTACCATGACAATTATGGAAAATCAAAATTCAGCTAAAGCATCTTATATTCAGTTTGCACTTTTTACGGCAATGTCCCATTTTAAGATTTTTTGACAACTTTTTGTCACGAGCATGCTACAATTGAGAAGAGCACTTAGACCAGTGTTTCTCAACCAATGCACCCAGGTACACTTATGTGCTCTGAGAAGTAACCAGGTGTACCCCAAATTAACAGAAGAGTAATTTATGGATTATTTTTATATTTAAGAAATTTTTATTTTTTGAAAGCTGGAAACACCTTAAGCATATAGCTTCCATGTCTAAGTTAATTGACATTTCAACTGATGCTGTTGGCTTATCATTAACAGAAGAATAGGAGTTGATTATGTCTTACGCATTGAGTATAAAAAGGTGTCCAGAGATGAATTTTAGGATTTTCATTCAAGAAGAATATCCTTCAGGTGCTAGTAAAGCATTGAATATATTATTGCAATTTTCCATAAGTGTGTGAATTAGGATTTTCAGCACTTACAAAGATTAAATGCAAAAATAGATCAAATATTAAATGCATTGATGAGGAAATGAGATTATGTTTATCACATATAAAGCCTAACATTAAAAAAATTGTCAAAGCACATCAGGCAAAGGTTTCACACAAGAATACTTAAATATACAATGTAATATAATAATTTGTCCTTGACAAAATCCAGAGATGGATATGCAATGTCCTTGACAAAATCCAGAGATGGATATGCAATGTCCTTGACAAAATCCAGAGATGGATATGCAATGTCCTTGACAAAATCCAGAGATGGATATGCAATGTCTTGACAAAATCCAGAGATGGATATGCAATGTCCTTGACAAAATCCAGAGATGGATATGCAATGTCCTTGACAAAATCCAGAGATGGATATGCAATGTCCTTGACAAAATCCAGAGATGGATATGCAATGTCCTTGACAAAATCCAGAGATGGATATGCAATGTTTTTTGACAAAATCCAGAGATGGATATGCAATGTCCTTGACAAAATCCAGAGATGGATATGCAATGTCCTTGACAAAATCCAGAGATGGATATGCAATGTCCTTGACAAAATCCAGAGATGGATATGCAATGTCTTGACAAAATCCAGAGATGGATATGCAATGTCCTTGACAAAATCCAGAGATGGATATGCAATGTCCTTGACAAAATCCAGAGATGGATATGCAATGTCCTTGACAAAATCCAGAGATGGATTGCAATGTCTTGACAAAATCCAGAGATGGATATGCAATGTCCTTGACAAAATCCAGAGATGGATATGCAATGTCCTTGACAAAATCCAGAGATGGATATGCAATGTCCTTGACAAAATCCAGAGATGGATATGCAATGTCCTTGACAAAATCCAGAGATGGATATGCAATGTCCTTGACAAAATCCAGAGATGGATATGCAATGTCCTTGACAAAATCCAGAGATGGATATGCAATGTCCTTGACAAAATCCAGAGATGGATATGCAATAAAATGATAAAAATCCAGAGATGGATATGCAATGTCGGTTTTGACAAAATCCAGAGATGGATATGCAATGTGATTTGGCCCTGATCTAGCATCTTGTTTACAGTTGCTCTTTCACAGATGCATTGTTGCTTCCCTCTGTCTTTTCTACAAATACTTTCACAGTAACTGCTCTGATGAGCTACTTTTGCTACTTCATAAACTGCATGAATTTAAGCGTGCTACTAGGTTGGCACCTCAGTCCCACCCTTTCACTGTCAAAACAGTTAAATGTAGCTGTCCCTTCTACTCCAATAGCTTCATGTCTTGCACTTCCCATCTGTGAAACTCTCTTCCTCTTACTTGCTTCCCTGATAGCTATAATCTCCAAATATTCAAATGCAATGGCAATCGACATCTCTAGATGTCTTGATCTATTCCCTGTCCTTCTTTTCATCCTTTTCTCTATCACACCTCTTTACCCTTGTTCCCACTCTCTGTAACCCCTTGTGTGTTAGTGGCACTCTCACCTTGATTGGGGTGAAATGCTTAAAAAAAATGAAGTAATGCCTTAAAAATAAATGCTTATCTCAAGAGACTTCTTTATTATTTTGAAATTTTCAAATTTCATGACTAATTTTCCCTTATTAAAATTTAAAGTGTGTCCCAGATTTTTAGTTAGTTTACAAGTGTGCCCTAATGTGAAAAAAGGTTACAAAACAATGACTTAGATAAAAAAAAATTCTTCAATACTTATGTTCACTTGTTAAAGAATGGTCAGTGAAAAGTCACCCTTGACAAGAGTGAATTATATCAATTGAATAAAATTAGACTTCATAAATCTGGGTCTCATTTCATATTCTGAATGGATTTACTTTGATTAATTCAAGTCTGGCACAGGGCTGAATTTTATTGCTCATTTGGCAAGGCTTGAACTTAGTGTTAATGAGCTTATAGTCACATCATGTTGAAACACAGGTTCTCATACAAACCCCGAAGTTAAGCAACATTGAGTCTGGTCAGTACCTACATGGGTGATGGCTTGAGAATACCAGGTGCTATGAGCAGGTTGTTAACAGATAATGGCTTGAAATTGTTAATTCGTCAGCCGAGTTTCAATTCCTGTTGGGGTCGTTATTTTCACTTATGTGCAAATACCCTTGGGAAAGGTATGAATCCATCTCTTCTTCTCCCGGCTTTGGAGTAATTGGTAAGACTTGTGTCACTAAAACCATTATTATCTCAATAAAATAAAAATAAAATTGCATAAAAAATATTCATATTTTGGCATTAAGTAACCTATAGAGTTTGTCGCTAAACAAAATCAACCAACATATTAGTACTAATGACCTTTTATTACATACACAACATGAATACCTACATACCTTTCACTGCACTGCTATAAGTGCATACTAAGATAAAAATTGCTTATTTGTTTCTTATCAGAATTCATCTCAAATATACTGGTACACCTTTGTTTATGTGGTTTCAATATTCTACCATCCTCTCCAACCAAATTGTCCTGGGTAAGACGTTAAACTATGTCCAGCAGAAAGGCCTCTGATCTGGAGGTTTTGAGGAGCGTGAAACCACCTCTTAATTGCTAGTGTTTCCAGGTCCACCCTGACCTGGGGTGGTAGCACCGGTTAGGGTCCCAGCTATGGGCAAATAGTTAACTATTACCAGCAATACAATTTTGAAGGAAACAGATTTTTGACAAAACAAATTATTACCAGCAATAAAATTTTTTGCCAGTATTAAATAACCCATTGAGATTGATATGTCGTAAAACAAAATAAACCAAAGAATACATACTCTATTCATATGAATCTATCCTAAAAATGTTGTCGGCATTGTGGTTGATATGCCGTAAAACAAACCAAACCATCACCTTTGTTTATGTGGTTTCACTATTCTACCATCCCTTCCAACCAAATCCTAGGCCTGTTTTTTTTTTTTTCCAATATCTCCATTCCTGAAAGAATTACTCCTTTCCCAAACCAAGATACATGACCATGAAAATTAAAAGAAAACAGTAAAACTCATGTTATTCATAATATATGGCACATAAATTGATCCCAAACTAAATTAATTTAAGTACTAATTTGCTTATAAAAAATTTTTTTTCTAAAACATTACTTACTTTCATTTATTAGATATTGAATTGTATCACTTTGTGTCCCTCATAGCTTGCCTGACATTTCAGCTAGCCTGATAAATATTTGTGGGTGTTCCTAAAGTCAAACATTTGGTAAAACCAATAAAATTTTTTCTTTTTTTTTTTTATAAATACTTGTTACAAAATAAAATTTGCTCTGATGAAGCCCATCAGAGGATGAAACGCATTATCTAAGTTTTCCTTTTGTCTTTATTCATATTGTCCTTTTACAGATATACTCTATCGGAAATTTTTGCACACACACGCACATATAAACTTTCTTAGAATTTAATAAATAAAAAATCCAATCATTTCTGCTACCAGAGTTTATCTGTGATTCATTAGGCAGTAAAATGATCTAATGATCTGCAGGTGTTACATTTCATAAAAATTTAAATTGCACTTTCTTTATATTTTATTTATTTATGTTTTTAAAGTACCTTGAACGTACTTTCATTCATATAGCTGTTTCTCTTAAAATAGAATCATTTGGCTTGTCAAATTGATTACACACACACATTGAGAGTAATGCCACTTATTTATTTTTGCTGGACAGAGCCATTTTCAGCTATAAAAAAAAATTTATTACATTTTTTTTACAGCAGTGTACTTTACCTTTCATTGGTTTGATTTTTTTATTTGCATGTATTGCTCTCACCACAACAAACACAAATTACCTACTACTTAGCATCCACTATTTAGTCTCCATAAATGTACGGTAAGCTTTGATGAATGTCAAGGGAGTCAATTATTTTTTTTTTTTTTTTTTTTGCATTGAGGATTTCAATGGCACATATCTACTTCAGGAGTACTTTCATGCCAGATGCTTTTTTACCGGTGAGAAGGTTCAATCTCTCCTGCATTACTTCCAATATTTGCTTCTTATGTTATGCACCAGCATATTAAAATAGATGAAGCATTACTTTTGGAGTCACCCTTAGGTGTGGACATATATATATATATATATATATATATGTGTGTGTAGAAATATATAGAAAATAGGAAAGAACTCGTTAGGTAAATAATCCAAAGTTCTTTAGTATTTTTTTTATTATTTTAAAAAATAGTGCTCGATACAAAAGTAGAGCATAAATATAATTATTTATTTAAAAATATGATTCCAACGCTACATAAGAGTTCTCATGTTTCAAAACAAGAGCTGAAAACTTCAATATAATTATTTGAATTAAATTGAATTAAAATACTAAGCTCTGTTCCATCTTCAAGAGAAATTTGTTTTGGAATAACTTATTCTTGAAATTTACATGTTTTATAAGCATATTCATTATTGAAATTAAAATTACTATGGTAATGTCTAGAGCAATTGTTTAAAGAAAAGGAGTGTAAGGGTTAATAATTTGTATCAATATTTGAGTTACATTCACAGACGTCAAGTCAGGGTAAGTTTGGGATGTCTAAATTTAAAGCGGAAGATGACATCTAGTCTGGTTAAGTGTCTATGGAGATTTTATTATTTTATTTTTTTCTGAAAGGGTTTTTTGTATATAAAAAAAAACTGTCGTAAGTCACTAACATTTGTTTTTTTGACAACTTCATAAAGGGTTATCTTTATTTCTTTTATTTTTATTTTTTAATATTTAAAAACTATTTAGACTATGGAATTTAAAATTATTTTATTGTTTGTTTTTTTTTATGCTAATTATTCAATGCAAAATTTGATGATGACAAAAAAAAACGTTAACACATGTCTATTGTTTAATAGATTTTATTATTTAGAAACTTAATAATGTAGTTTTTCATGTAGGCATAAAGGGCATGGGTCATCCCAAGTTTTACAAGTTCTAGTTTTGTTTATATATTATATATATATATATATATATATTCATTTCCTTCAAAATAGAAATATTTAGATTGAAGATGTTGGATAGGCAGTTCAAATATTGTTTGTGTTTTTTAATTATATCCATCTGCATTTTTAATTCCTTCATTTCATGGAATATATCATATCTTATATCTTTTCATATATATACGATGCATGATATAGGACATATATGATTCCTATATAATATATGCACATTATTTTACCCAGTTCTTCGATTCTTCAAAAAATGTGGTTGGTTCTGCACAAGTGTAAATTTATAGCTGTTTGGTATACAATATGAACATACTGTTCCCTAAATATAAAAATGGTGGGTTTTATTATTTGTATATATATATTTTTATATATATATATATATATATATATATATATATAATATATTATATTATAACAATTTATACACAACATAAAAGTTATTATATATATATATATATATATAAATATATAAAAATAGAATATATATGATAAAGTTGCAAAAAACCTCTTTCCTACAAATTGTCTCTTTAATTAGTGATTACACCTGCAAGATTTTTATAAAGGGTTAGAGAAAAAGTTCAAAGTAATATTTGGAGGAATTAAAGATGAATAAGACATGTTTTTTCTTTTCTTTAATGCAATAAAATTCTCCACATGTAATGCCTATTTGTAAAAAGATTTTCAGTTACTTGTCTGCCATGTGTGGACAAACGAGCACATATCAAGGACTATTTTAAAACACTCCGCGTTCATACTGTGAGACATTGTCATTTTGCATTATAATTAAAATTTCTTTTCAAAGGACACTCCATTTAAAATATAATAGATGACATGAAGTGACAAAATTATATTGAATTAATTGCTAGGTCTGCTGTTTCACTGCATCATGCAAGACAATTTTTCTCACTAGAATCTATTTTACACATTTATAAATCTACCATTCATCTATAAATTGAATATTGCTGCTACATCTGGTCTGGTGCTTCTGTTATGTATTTGGAGATTCTTGATAAGATCCAAAGAAGAATCTGCAATGTTATTGGTCCTGACCTGGCTTCTTGCCTTCAGTCACTTTCCCATCACTGTAAGATAGCTTCATTGTACATCTTCTATAAATATTTTCATGGTAATTGTTCTGATGAATTTTCTTCTATGGTACCCAGACTTTATGAATTTGAATGCAGTACTAGATTGGTGACAATGTCTCATCCTTTTACAGTTGAAATGGCTAGATGTAACTGTAAGTTCTATGCTAACAGTTTCTTCTCTTGTAACTTATCGCATGTGGGACACTCCTGGCTTCTTGCCTTCCAGTCAGTTTTGATCTTCAAAAATATAAATGCAATGTTACCTTCTGTCTTAATTCCTTTTTATTGTTCTTTTATTGTTTTCCCTCCTCAATGTTTATTTTATATATTCTTTCAAACTAAGTACCCCTTACATTTTAGTAGCTTTGTTGTCTTGCTTTGGATGAAATGATTAAACAAAAAAAAAAATCATAATACCAAATTTTTTTTAGTAAACCTATGATTAAAACAACATTTAAAAAATTAGTGCAGAATTTAAAAAAAAAAAAGAAAGCAAACATGCAGACATGTAAAAAATTTATTATTTTTCTTATAAACCTGTAATTAATACAGGATATTTTTTATGAGCAATAATTACTGCTAGATTTTTATATTAATTTTTAAAATAGATTAATGAGACTTTTTAGAATTCAGCTGGTCAGAAAAATCATTTTTAAAAAAAATTAATAATTTTGTGTGTTTGTGTGTGTGTATCTGTTCGTTTATATATAAAAGCCACTGTTCATTGCACAAAACATGTCACTATATTTTTGTTTATATCTTAGAATCTATCCAAGGCATGACATTAAACTGCATCCACATTCTGGGCATAAAGCTAAACTGCAGTCATGGTTTTTTTTTTCTCCAAACAAATTCACCTATGTTCTGGGTAGGACATTAAACTACTATCAGGTTGAAGCATAATTTAGTAAGATGGATTAAAACTAATTATTTGTAATGAGAGAAAAACTATTTTATATGCCATCAAAAAATATTAATTACAACCTATCCGTTTATAC